TGTTACCTCTCTACCCACTTTGGTGACTTTTTATCATTAGTGAATGCTGAATTTTGTCAGATGCTTTCTCTGTGTTTATTGATATAATCATGTGGTTTTTGTCTTTCCTTTTGTTAATGTGAAGTATCACATTGATTGAACTGCACATGTTGAATTATCCTGGTAACTATGGAATGAATCCAACTTGTTCATGCTCTATGACCCTTTTTATATATTGTTGCATTTTAGATTTGCTAATATTTTGTTGAGGAATATTGCATCAATATTGCATCAAAGATGTATAATTTTCTTTTTTTGTAATGTCTTTGTCTAGTTTTGGTATTAGGGTGATAATGGCTTCCTAGAGTAAATTTAAAGGGTGTTGTTCCCTCTTTCTCAGTTTTTTGAAATAGTTTGAGAATGATAAGTATAAGTTCTTCTCTGTTTGGTAAAATATGCCATTGGAGCTGTCTGATCCTAGGTTTTTGTTTGTATGGAGTTTTGTTGTTTGTTTTTTCACACATTCTATTTCACTCATAGTGATCATTCTGTTCAATTACGTTTCCTCTTGACTCTGTTTTGGCAAGCTGTATGTTTCTAGAAACTTGTTCATTTCTTTAGGTCCACTTCTAGAAATTTTTCCATTAATTTTGTCCAACTTGTTGGCATAAACTGCATATAGTAATCCTTTTAAAAAATTCTGTGGTACCAGTTGTTATTTTTCCTTTATTTCTTAGTTTATTTGGGTCCCCTCTCTTTTCTTCTTGGTGATCCTGGCTAGAGGTTTGTTGATGTTTTTTTATCTTTAAAAAAAAATGGTTTTATTGACCTTTTCTATCTTCCAACAGTTTTATTGATCTATCTCTATTTTATTTATTTTCTCTCTGATCTTGTTATTTCCTTCCTTCTGCTGACTTTAAGGTTTCTTTGTTCTTTTTCTAATTCTTTTAGGTGGTAGATTTCTTTATTTGAGGTTTTTATTTGTTTCTTGGGGAAGGCCTGTATTGCTATGAACTCCCCTCTTAGTACTGCTTTTGTTGAGTACCATAGCTTTTGTAAGCTTGTGGTTTTATTCTTGTTTGTCTTGAGGTATTTTATGAAGTCTTATTTGGTCCCATCATTGACTCATTTGTTTTTTAGTAGCATGCTGTTTAGTCTCCATGTGTTTGTTCTTTCCCTGTTTTTCCTTATGTGGTTGATTTCTAGTGTTATAACACTGTAGTCAGAAAAGATGCCTGAAATAATGTCTAACCTCTTGAATTNGCAAGGAGATCCAACCAGTCCATCCTAAAGGAAATCAGTCCTGAATATTCATTGGAAGGACTGATGCTGAAGCTGAAACTCCAGTACTTTGGCCACCTGATGTGACGAACTGACTCATTTGAAAAGACCCTGATGCTGGGAAAGATTGAAGATGGGAGGAGAAAGGGACGAATGAGGATGAGATGGTTGGATGGCATCACCGACTCAATGAACATGAGTATGAATAAACTCTGGGAGTTGGTGATGGAGGTCTGGTGTGCTACAGTCCATGGGGTTACAAAGAGTCAGACATGACTGAGTGATGGAACTGAACTGAATGTCCTTCTCTGATTTCTTTTATGTCCTTTGTTTTAAAATCAGTTTTTGCTGATATGAATATTGCTACCCATCCCACCCCCACTTTCTGTTTCCATGTGCTTGAAATATCTTTTTCATCTCAACACTTTCAGTCCCTTTGTGTTTTTCACCCTGAAATGAGTCTCTTGTAGGGAGCACATTGTAGGTTCTTGTTTAATCCAATATGCCACTCTCTGTCTCTTGATCAGAGCATTTAGTCCACTGACATTTGAAGTAATTATTGATAGTATGTGCTTACAACCATTTTAAACCTTGTTTTCTGGTTGTTTATGTTGTTCTTCTTTGTTCATTTCTTCTTTTTGTTTTTCTTTGATAGCCTGGTGATTTTCTTTTATAGTATGCAGAGTTCTGTTTTTCTCTCTCTCTCTGTGTGTGTGTGTGTGTGTGTGTGTGTGTGTGTGTGTGTGAATCCGTTGCATGTTTTTGATTTGTGGTTGCCACGATGTTCAAGTCTGTTGACCCATAACTATATCTGCTTGCTTGATGATCATATAAGTTCAAACACATTCTAAAAGACCTGGATTTTTATGCTCCCCTTCCCCACATTTTATGATTTTGATGCCTAATTTTACATGTTTATGCTTAGCCTTGTGCTGAATGATTAACACAACACTTTTGCTTTTGGCTGTAGTTATAATCACTTTTACCAAAATTTTTATATTTTTGCCTTTTTTATTGGACTGTTCCCTTTCCAATAGATTCTTATTTCTTTTCTATTTAAAGAAGACCTTTCACTATTTCTTTTAGGGTTGGTTTGTGCGTTTGAGTGTGCTCAGTCATGTCCAACTCTTTGCAACCCTATGGAGTATAGCTTGCCAGGCTTCTCTGTCCATGGAGTTTTCCAGGGAAGAATGCTGGATGGAGTAGGTTGCCATTTTCTCCTCCAGGGGATCTTTCCGACCGGGGGATCAAACCCATGTCTCTAGCACCTCCTGTGTTGGCAGATGGATTCTTTACCACTAGTGCCACTGGGAAAGCCCAGGGTTGGCTTAGTATTGCTGAATTCTTTTTGTTTTTGCTTGTCTGATAAACTCTTTATCTCTCTATTCTAAATTCTTCTGTTTTAAATATTTTGAGTCATAGAGTAGTCTAGGTTGCAGATTTTTCCCTTTCAGGACTTCAGCTATATCATGCCGCTCCCTCTGGCCTACAGAGTTTCTTCAGAGAAGGTCTCACTCAATTTTTAGGCTTTTACAAAAAAAAAAAAATGTTGATTTCCACATGCAGTAATTTTTGATCCAGTGTATAAGAAATTGGCTGACCACACAAATCATTTCTATTCCTGTTCTCTTCCTCCCTTCTCACTTATAGTTTGAAATTGCTATTTCATTCCTTAAAACAGGAAACTAACTTGCAGTTTCTGTATACCAAGATATAAAGTAGTCTGTGGTGGCTTAGCAAAAATGAATTAAATTAGTTTATCAGAGTACAGAGTCTTTGTGGAATCAGGCTTGACTGTCATTACTGTATGACCTGCAATAACTAAGCCTCTCTGTATTGATAGGACCACTACATATGAATATTGGGAAGGTCAAAGGTACTAGAAAGTGCTTTAATAAGTATTTGGTGGTAAGTAATTTATTAATTATTACCAATTATTTATTGGTTTATATTATTAATTATTAATAAGCAATTTATTAATTATGGTAAGTATACAACAGCTATATCAATGACATTCAAACAGGTAGAATGTCTTTAACTCAGCTGTAGAACACTACCATTAGATTTTAATAATGATGCCAATGGCCAATGATTACTTTTCAACAAAAACTTTGGCAAAGCTTTAGTATTTCAAGTGGTAAATACAAAATATAATTATGTGCTATCATGAGTTAAAACTTAAGGTGAATGATAATTTATTGGTTAAATTCATCAAGTTGCTTAGTTACTCATGTATCCGATTATATATAGCTAAGTTACATGTGAACTTGCCCATTTATAGTCCTAGTTTTAGGACTCTGACCCACAGCTATATGGCAAAAATATGGAAAGATGTATATGCAGGGATATTCATTGTGAGACTAATTGTAAATTGAGAGAATGGAAATAACCCACATGTGCATATAAGGAGATTGGTTGAATGAACAGTAGATTACTGTGCACTATGACAAGAAATGAGGAATATTTCTATATACCATTGTGGAATGATCTTTGGAATATAGTGTTGAGTGAAAAAAAGAAAGTACTCTTTGTATGCTACCTTTTAAGAAATAACCATAAAATATGCACATATATGCTTGCTTACATTAAAAATTAGAAAGGGAAAGATAAACCATGATTTTTTAAAAAATAAGGTTACCTGTAAGGACAATGAGAAAACAGTGTATAGAGGACAGGAATAGAAGCTGGCTTATGCAAATACACTGAATTATTTAGATTTGCCTCTGGAAACAAATACTTTACTTATAAAGCAAAATTAACTTTTGAGAAAAATCCCAAAATTGAAAATAAAATGAAGCAGATTATTAACAAGATGTTCCATAACACACAGAGAAGAACTTTTTCAAGTGACTTTAAAAACACAGTAGTTAAAAAAAAAAAAAGAAAAAAAATTTTAAAAATCAATAAATAAAAACACAGTAGTTAGACTGTATATCTGCAGTGGGATATTCTCTAAGGACAAACATATCAAAAGATTATTTTTACCATTCTTAGTGATTTTATTGGTGGTAGTAATGTTATATATGTACTCTTTTTTTAATGTGATGTGTAAGATAAAGAAAATGAGTAATTTATATGATGTTCTAATTAAAGAGGAGAATGAAAAAGTTGGCTTAAAACTCAACATTCAGAAAACTAAGAACATGGCATCCAGTTCCATCACTTCATGGCAAATAGATGGGGAAACAGTGGAAAAAGTGAGAGACTATTTTTGGGGCCTCTAAAAGCACTGTAGATGGTGACTGCAGCCATGAAATTAAAAGACACTTGTTCCTTGAAAGAAAAGCTATGACCAACCTAAACAGCATATTAAAAAGCAGAGACACTTTGCCAACAAAGGTCCGTCTAGTTAAAGCTATGGTTTTTCCAGTAGTCATGTATGGATGTGAGAGTTGGACTATAAAGAAAGCTGACTGCTGAAGAATTGATGCTTTTGAACTGTGATGTTGGAGAAGACTCTCGAGAGTCCCTTGGACTGCAAGGAGATCCAACCAGTCCATCCTAAAGGAAATCATTGAATATTCATTGGAAGGACTGATGCTAAAGCTGAAACTCCAGTACTCTGGCCGCCTGATGCAAAGAACAGACTCATTGGAAAAGACCTTGATGCTGGGAAAGATCGAAGATAGGAGGAGAAGGGGACGAATGAGGATGAGATGGTTGGATGGCATCATGGACTCAATAGACATGAGTTTGAGCAAGCGCTGGGAGTTGATGATGGACATGGAAGCCTGGCGTGCTGCAGTCCATGGGGTCACAAAGAGCTGGACACGATTGAGTGACTGAACTGAACTGAACTGATTATGCCATCCCAATCATTCTTGAGAAGCTGGAGTCTCAACATAGAAGAGATTAAGATTTAAGATAGAAGAGACTGAGTGAAAATTCTATAGTCCTGGATTTGAAATAGAGGTATCATGAGGTAATTTGTATTAAATTTTTCTCCCTGGCTCTGAAAAAGCCTAGAAACAATAACCAAGCTAGTAGCAATGAGTACACCTAGTACCTAGATTATGATACTTCAAGACAAGTTTTCCTTGGAGAAATATCTTACTCTGATTCTAGGTCAAGAGCAGGAAATGTCTTTTTTTTTTTTAAGCAATTAAACCCAAATTCAGTATATTTTAACTTATATACATAGTTCTGAAAAAGCCTAGACACTTCACTGGTGATTAGCCCAGTGTACGTGAGAACTTCTAGCTCCAGATTATAATCTTGCAGTACCATTTTCCACTAAAAGGAATCGGAACTGTCTGAAAACAGTTCTGATTCCAGGACTGGGGCGAGAAAAATACTAATTTTAACCAAATGAAATTGCCTTATTGCCATGTGTGTGTGTGGTTACTCAGTTTTGTTGGACTCTGCAACCCCATGGAACTGTAGCCCGCCAGGCTCCTTTGTCCATGGGATTGTCCAGGCAAGAATACTGGAGTGGGTTGCCATTTCCTCCCCTAGGGGATCTTCCTGACCCAGGGATCAAGCCTATGTCTCTTGTGTCTCCTGCACTGGCAGGCAGATTCTTTACGGCTGAGCCACCTGGGAAGTCATTTTAGTATGGCCCTACCTAATACAGAATGAATCTGGAATATCTTTTCATAGGGCTAGCACTGAAATATATTAGTTTTCTAGATCTGTTGTAACAAAATAGCTGTTGTAACAAAACTGAGTGACTTAAAGCAACAGAAATGTATTGCCTCATAGTTCTGGAAGCTTTAAGTCTAAAATCAGGGCCATGCCCTGTTTGATACTGTGGTTAGAATCTTTCCTTGCCTCCTCCCAGCTTCTGGTGTGTCTGGCAACCCCTGGAATTATTTGTATCAATAAGATAGTTCTTGCAGCAAGTTGAACTCCACTGAATATTTATATTCATTAATTTATACTGCTGCTAAAAAAAAATGAAAATTCTGATTGGTCACCATTGGAGAATGATAAGGAAACAATTCATCATCTTGAAGATTGGTAAATAAAAATAGTCAAGCATTTCCAGCCTTTCCTATGAATTGTACACCAAGTATCAAATAGCAGATGTCCTGGTTTGACTGGTAGCCTCCCAAAAGATATGTCCATGTTCTAATCCTTATTTATGTTACCTTATTTGGAAAAAGGGTCTTTGCAGGTATAAGTAAATGAAGGATTTTGTGATGAGATCATTACCATGGTAGACCCTAAATTCACTGGCGAGTGTCTTTATAAGGGACAGAGAAATGAACAAACAGGAGAGGAAGAGGAAACGTAACCACAGTGGAAGGAAGTGGAGCAGCAGAGCAACCAGGAATGCCAGCCGCTAACGGAAGTTGGAAGAGACAGAACAGATTTCTCCCTGAGAGCCTCTGGGGGACGTATGTCCCTGCCAACGTTTTTGTTTTGGACTTCTGGCCTCCAGAACTATGAGAATAAATTTCTGTTGTTTTTAAGCCACCACGTTTGTGGTTATTACAAAAGCCTCAGGAAACCAGTACAGTAATAAGAGGATGTTTCTCTTTAAAGAAGTAGCTAATAAGCGAATAAAGAATCATAGAATATCATCGTTTCCCAACCTCTAATGAATTAAGAGATAGAGATGTTAAGCACTGGCATCTGCCAGAACCATAAAAAGAGAAACACCCTGACTTTGTGTCCTTCTTTTTTTTAAAAAAATTAAGTATTTATTTATCTGATGGCTCTGGCTCTTAACTGTGGCATGTGGGATCTAGTTCCCTGACCAGGGATCAAACCCAGGCCTCTGCACTGGGAGTGCAGAGACTCAGCCAGTGGGCCACCAGGGAGATCCCTGTCCTTCTTTTTTAAAAGTTTTTAAAAGCTTTTTATCCCAGATATTATGTGCTTCTGGAAGAAGATACTACCACCTGTAAAGTAGTCTTACTCACACTCCTACCACCCCAAAATAAAAACCCCGAATGTGATCAAGCTTCTATATCCAATGAAAATTCACAGAAAATACAGAGGATGCAGGGACATTTTAAACTATTTGTGTCAAAAATGCAGTCATTAAAATCCAGACCCTGAGAAGGTATGGGATAAATGATGTCTTTTCTTCAACAAACAATTTCAGAAAGATAGTGGAACTTAAGGCTTAAGACATTTAAGAGACTTAACAGTCAATCATATACACAGAACTACAAACTATAAAAGATGACAATTTGTGAGACAACTGGCAATTTGAACACTTACTGGATATTTGATGAAATTAAAGAATTATTAAATGAAATTTTCCACTAAAGAATTTAAGCCCAGTGAATCATTTATAATCAAATGGTTCTTTATCCATACAGCAAGGCCTGGTATTGTAAATAATATTATACATTTTGTTTAATTACACAGGTTTCCTGTTTCTCTGATTCTTGGATCTCAGCTGCAAGTTGAGCAGCTGTGATTTGGGACAGTTAGAAATGGTGAAAAGTAAAGTACTTGCCCATCCTAATGGCCAGGTTTTCTTTGATTTACCTATGAACTTCATTGTTCCTATATCTTCAGCTTGATAGAGGTTTCTGATATGAAAGATAACTACACAATTTTCTAATAAAATACATCATAGCAGGTAAATTAAATCTTAATCTACAAACTATATCTTGGAGAATTATTACTGAAACTAGATGGGCCAATTTCAGTTCTTCTGCAAAACCTACTTTCCTCTGATAGTAAAGGTAGGACAGATTATAAAAGGGGAGGTGGCAGAAAGATTATTGTAGATTTCAGACCATAATGGAAGCAAGGAATTTGTAAATACTGAAGGCTGGTATTTGATTTAACAAGGGTTTCTTGGAGGAAATCAAGAGGTATAGTTCTAATACCTTCTTGAGAACAAGGGTCTACATTAAAGTAGGATGGTTCTTCAAAGTAAGGAGATAGCCAGTAGGCACAAACAAAGGATGTTTAAACTGGAAAAAAACAGAGGTTTTAAAAAGATGAGGAATTTGACATTTTGTTTTCCCTGCCAAGCTGAGAAGCAATAGTGAATTTAGTCTAAAAGATGCAATCACATGCTACCTCCTTTAAAACTTATAATAGTCCAATGAGACGAATAATATTATTCCTTTGTTATGGATAGGAAACACTCTGGTTAAGGAGTGTCTTGCTGACATATTGCTGTTTTCTTATGAAGTATTAGAGGTCCAGGTTCAAAGCTCTTTCCACCTGTCTTAGAAATAACAAGTTATCAATGAAGGAATATGTGAAGGTTTTGAATCAAATTATGTTGGTCCTTGTTGTTGTTGTTCTTGTTTAGCTGTGTCTGATTCTTTTGCAACTCCATGGACTATATAGCCCACCAGGCTCCTCTGTCCATAGGATTTCCCAACAAGAATACTGGAGTGGGTTGTAATTTCCCTGTCCAGGGGCTCTTCCAGACCCAGGAATCTAACCAGTGTCTCCTGTATTGGCAGCAGATTTGTTACTGCTGGGCCACCATGGAAGCCCCTGTATTGGTCCTTAAGCTTGTCAGATATATGTTAATTATATAATGTGTTAAACTTCATTTGGGAGAAGAAACTCTGTAACATATTCAAAATTGGAGACTTTGTCCCAATTAAATGTAACTGCCTCTGTAAAAAGCATTATCAAAAGCATTTATTAAATCATTTAAATAACTGATTTCTCTGTTTCTACATTATTTGAAAATCATCCATTTCCCATTCAAAATAACATTTACTCAGTTACTGAATTTGACAAGAATGGTCATTTTCTAGCAAGTGTTTCTAATCAAAACATTTGTCTTAACGTTACAATTGTATTTTAACTGCTTTCATAAAACAAGACAATGGAGGGTGACTTTTTAGTGGTAGAACATTGGGAAGGAGAGACCTATTATATTTTACCTGATGAACCAATAGTATAGCTCCCATTGTGTAGACAGAAAAATATAATTAAATTGGGCCTGTGCCAATGTCATTGCACAATAAATTAGAAGAGGCCATGTATATTGACAGGGATAATGGAATAGCAGTACTCAAGAGCATGAACTTTGTAATTACATAGACTAAGGTGCTTGTCCTTGTTCCAGTCATAGACAAGTTACCTCATCTGTAAAATGGCAGTTAGTGAAATTAATAAGTCTCTGCTTTAGAGAATTGTGGGAGGACTAAGATAGTACATGTCAAGCCCTTTAGCTCAGTGATTGGCACAGAGTAGGTCCTCCATAATGATTAGAGATGATAATATTGATACTACTGAAAATTAAATGGGTTCTATTTTGTCTTTGTCTAGATCATGTTACAGAGAAGGCAATGGCACCCCACTCCAGTACTCTTGCCTGGAAAATCCCATGGATGGAGGAGCCTGGTAGGCTGCAGTCCATGGGGTCACTAAGAGTCAGACACGACTGAGCGACTTCCCTTTCACTTTTCACTTTCATGCATTGGAGAAGGAAATGGCAACCCACTCCAGTGTTCTTGCCTGGAGAATCCCAGGGACGGGGGAGCCTGGTGGGCTGCCGTCTATAGGGTCACACAGAGTCAGACACGACTGAAGCGACTTAGCAGCAGCAGCAGCAGATCATGTTAAGCAGTGGAGTGGAACAAAAATTAGGAATCAGAACACACTTCTGAACTGAGTTCACCAATCCGTACCTATCTTTTGAACATGTGAGTTTTCTCCATCTGTAAAATCAGAATCAAAGCAAGTAATTCCAGGTTTGAGATAAGACACATACTACACTCTAGATACCTACCAGTTCTTGAGGATAGATCATTTGAATAATGTATTTCTCTGTTTTTACTTCAGTTGAAAATCATCACTTTCCTAAAATGACTCAGATTGTTTAAAACTGAGAATTTATATAAATCTCTAGTCAAGAGTTATAATTGCTCATTTGTGAAGTGTAGAATCCATTATCATTCCTCAGTAAATCTCAAATGATAAGTTTTCAGGCTTCAGATATATTGTAGTATGTGATAAAAAAAAAAATCAATACTGTTATTTGGCCACAGGATGGCAAAATACACCTGAGCCTGGATAGAATACAAGACTAGGAAACCACAGTCCCTAGAGTGGTGTTTCATTTCCTTTGCATGTATTTTGTTGCCGGCTTAGTGACATTTATCACTAACTGTGGTTTTATTTTCAAAAGATAGAAATCATCACATATTTCCTTCTTCAGTTCAGTTCAGTCTCTCAGTCATCTTCGACTCCGCAACCCCATGAACCGCAGCCCGCCAGGCCTCCCTGACCATCACCAGCTCCTGGAGTTCACCCAAACTCATGTCCATTGAGTTGGTGATGCCAGCCAACCATCTCATCCTCTGTCATCCCCTTCTCCTCCTGCCCTCAATCCCTCCCAGCATCAGGGTCTTTTCAAATGAGTCAGCTCTTTGCATCAGGTGGCCAAAGTATTGGAGTTTCAGCTTCAAAATCAGTCCTTCCAATGAACACCCAGGACTGGTCTCCTTTAGGATGGACTGGTTGGATCTCCTTGCAATCCAAGGGACTCTCAAGAGTCTTCTCCAACACCACAGTTCAAAAGCATAGATTCTTTGGGACTCAGCTTTCTTTGTGGTCCAACTCTCACTTCCACACATGACTACTGGACAAAACATAACTTAGACTAGATGAATGTTTGTCGGCAAAGTAATGTCT